GTGTGGCATCACCAGTCTCAACATTCAAACTACATCTGTGGAGAGGAGTCCTTCCTGCCTTTTTAGGGTAACCCAAAGAGACCTGAAGCCTATTGAATACTTAAAGACACTGTTACTAGTGAAACCTCAAGCCTGAGTCCAAGTGGCTTATGAATGATCAATCTATAGGACAATGTCCAGGCCCCTGAATAATTCTCAGCACATGGAAATGGACTGCATCTTAAGATGTCTTACATTAAAAAGCAACCTCCAGAAGTGGCAATTGATATGACACCCCCCCCACAAAAAAAATAGTGCAGTTCTTCCTGAAAAGGCTAGGGCTCAGCCAACAGACTAAGTGGCTCATTTCTCCAAAAAGGCAGAGAGTCTTTCTTAATATTTATTTTTTTGATTATGACAAGGGATCACTGTTTCATGTTGTCAACTGTTCCTATCCCAAGAGGCAATTCCTATTAGAATATACATACTGGACTAGATAAATTTTCATATACTGAAAGATGAGAAGATTCATCTGGGTCTGGAGGAGGACAGTGTGACATCCAGTAGCCTGGAGATCAGTGCTCACTAGTGTAACTGGATGGATTTGCTGACTCCTTTTGGAGAGAAAGTGTATAAAATCCAGGTTGATAGGAGAATACTGGAAAAGGCACGTGTTAATGAAAAGTGTGCATGGATTTTTATTTGCCCCCAAAGTTTGTTATAGTGAAATTGGTTGCTTCATTAATATTCATTTTTCCTTCTTAATAATCCCCAGGGTATAGCAAGAATTTGTATGGCTTATGGACAAGACAATTTTTTATTCTTAGCTCTTCAAGGAAAACATGTGTTCTAAGGTTAAGAGGGTTAACCTCAATATTCCTAGAAATTTCACATTACAGATGCCCTCTTCTTGCTTTGGATGACATGGTATACAGAATATAAGATTGAAACTACTGTTGCTCTTTTCTGCCATGAAGAACTCCAGCCTGAGTATTAAGAAAACACAGAATTAAGAAAATCTCGGGACAATGGAGCTAGAACAGACCAATTGCCCTTGGAGCCTACCCTCCCTCTGAACTTATTTATATAAACTAACAAGTTTCCTCTGAGTTTGAATTGAGTTTGTGTTTGTTTGCGATTACAAGCATTCAAGTGATTTTTGGTTTGAAGATACAGTGATCACAACTTTTAAATAAAAATTTTGCATAGCTGTCTCTGTACTACCCTAAGGAAAAATTACATAGAGTTTTTTTTTTTTTAATTACATAGGTCTTTTTTTTTAAGAATAATTTTTTTTTTTCTTCTAAGAAAAATATAATACAATCTGAGTTAGACCCATATGTCTAATATAAAACTAGCATCTTACTGGATCTTTAAAATTAACACTCTTATTAAACATAGCTAAATTGCTGATCTTCACCCGAAATCTACTCTTAAGCTCATGATGTCAGCAAATGTCACCACCAAGTTTACAAAAAAAGCCAGAAGCTGTAGCACCTTCCTAAATCCCTCCCTCTCTTTCAGTCCCCATGTATAATCTGTCACTGTGGCTTGTGGATTTACCATCTGAATGACTTTCGCTTTTTCCCCTCCACTTGTTCAAACTATAATTACTTTCCTTCTGACCCGACTTCCAAAGTCCGCTTGCTTTCTGTAATCTGACTTCTCCACTGCAAGCACAGTGATCGTTCCTCTTCTCAAATCTATAACTATCACTCCCGCTTAACACCCTCCAGTGTCTTCTCTTTTTTTCTACAGATAAGTACAAAGCTGCTTAACACCTCGAGCAGGACATGCAGTGGCATGCCTGATGGTGTCTGGCTGTTACCTGTCTTTCCCATCTCATTTTGTAGCCACAGCAGCCTTCTTGCAGCCTCCTGCAGCTGCAGGGACATGTTTGCTGCTCGTGCTGTGGCCTCTGATTATTCCATGATTTTCTTCTCCTGGAAGACACTTTTCCTTCACCTTACCAACATTTTCGGATCTTCCTGTCATTTACTTTAAAAGTATCATTCACCTAGCTTTTGACAATTTTTTTCTTTATTATTATGCAGGTATTTCATCGACATGTCTTCTGCAGTATGTTTTACATTATATTAAGAAAAGATACATATCTGCTTTTGGACAGGATTTCCAGAGATTCTTAAGTATGTTTTGAAGCATGAATCAGAGTAATGCTTAAAGTTCATTCATTACTTTGATGAATACAAAGTGGCCCTATTTGACCTTCCTCAATATGATTATAAATACCACTAAAAACTTCAAAGACAAGCACATTATTGGTTCACTATATGTATTCAACTTTGGCAAAACCGCAATAAAATTGGATGCACCCTGGAGAAAGAATATGTTATGTGTGACTGAAAGAAGATTGCTAACTTAAAAGTCAGAACAGTAAAGACCTAGGTGTGTTCTAGTACCACACATTAACTCCATCGCTGTCTTCATCAGCTAAAGCTGATTATTACAAAATACCAGACTGGATAGCTAATAAACAGCACACACTTATTTCTCATAGTTCTGGAGGGTGGGAAGTTCAAGAGGAAGGTACCAGAAGTTCCTGTGTTTGGAAAGGACCCCTTTCCTGGGTCACAGATGGTGCCTTCTGTATCCTTACATGGTGAAAAGGGAGAGCAGCCCTCTGAGTCCTCCTTTTTGAGGACAATGATCCCAATCATAACGGCTCCCCTGTTATAACCTAATCAGCTCCCAAAGATCCCATCTCCAATACCATCATTTTGGGGGTTAGAATTTCAGCTTGTGAACTTTGGGGGAGGACAAAAGTAACAGCTTTTAAGAACTATAATTCCACAGAGTCTCAGTTTCTTTTTCTATATAGTGGACCTGAGAAATTCCAACTCAGATTGAGTTATTTCAAAGATCACATAATGGTGTCTATCATCACAAGATTCAAGTACTTTGCCAAGCAGACTTCAGGGTCCTTATCTATCTTCTTTAAGCAAAAGTGAATGCCCCAATCAGCATCCCCCCCAAAAAACAAAACAAAACAAAACACTTTTCTGAACGCCAGAGACCCATTTTTATTTCTACAATGATACTTTCCACGTTATTGCCTATTATAATCCAAAGCTTTCTTAGAATACTCTCATGAATTCAATTCTCCTGATACTTCAGGTAGCTTCTCATTTGCAAGTTAATCATGTTGAGGCTAGTGGAGAATAAAGGGGTTTGAAACATCTTCTATGGAAACTAAAGAGTCTGGGAGATACTAGAAAGAGAGAAATACAGATCAGATTTAAATGCTGCCTCCATCACTTAACTATCTGTGACCTTTATGGATTATATGATTTTCAACCTTTTCTTCATGAGGATATTGTGAGGATAAGAAATAATGAGTATAAAATATGGTACAGATATTACTATCTAGTAAATGGAAAACAAATGGTAATCAAATATGTTCTGATATAAATGGAAAATAATAACACCATAGTATTCACAATATAGAAAATTCAGAAATAATAATTCTATGGTTACAACCATGATGTATAATTCTTTGAAAATAATCATATATATTATTTAACAACTCTTTTAAAATTTGCTAAAGATCTATATTTTACATATATTACGTACATATTAGTCCATAACTATCTTCAGAGGAAGATGTTTTTATAATTTTTCTTTACTAAGGGGGATATGCTATAATTATCTTCAGAGGAGGATTTTTTTAAATTTTTATTTATTAAGGGGGATATGCTTGCTCAATTCAGTACAAAGAATGTAATGAAACTGGTGATAGAACTCAACTCATGTGGTTACAGACTATCTCAAGCACTGTCTACCATCTTACTACTTCTGACATATAGCACTTTACTGAAGACTGTCCTGATTCTAGATATGGATTCACATGCCACATGGTTTTCAAGGATGAGTCACATAGGTGCAGCTCTGTGCCTCAGAGATGACTATGACACCATACTCATTAATAATAATCTTCTAAATAAGACACAGTACACCACATAGCATTGTACATTTTAGTATATTGTGATGATACATGCCTACACAAAGTGCTAACAATACATTTATTAATAGAGTATTTGTTCTGAGTCAAAACTACAGGGTCAATGTTGTGCCTGTCAATTGCTGGTTAAATAAGCTTCCTCAGTGTTTTGTTTTCTTCTTCTTTTGTTTTTTTAAATCAGCATATCTCTAGATAGCAGTTTGACAAGCAATGAACACTTGGCCTTGCATACATTAAGAATTCTATAAAAAAATCCCCAAATTTGACTACCATTAAAATTTAATAATGCAATATAATGAAAGCTAGTTTCAATCTATCTGAACCTACAAACAGGTTAAAGCATTTATGAACAAGGTTAATTTAAGGTACAATGAAAATAAGTTATAATAAAATGATGATCATTGTAAATTGGATATTAATAAATGAAACAACCAGAGCGGCAAAAGTTTTAATGTCTTAAGGAGGTGACCTGGGGGGCAAAATCCAAATTATCAATTGTTTGAACTATAGGAGAGGTGGTAAATGAACCTTGAAACAATTAGCTAGCTCTACTAGTTATAAGTAAAATTAAGCATGAATAATCACAGGCTTCAAGAAAGGAATCATCTCAGTATATCAAAATGTTTTATAAAAGAAAGGAGAGAAAGATGGGAGGATATAGTGAATTTAATTGTGGCTATCCAAAGATATACCCACCTGGAGCTATGAAATGGTTTGTGCAGATGGAATTCTACTTAGTATCTTGATCTGAGACCATGCAGGATTTAGCATGAGTCCTAAATACTAAAGGTATCCTTAAAACCAAACCAAATCAAACCAAACCAAACCACAGTATATTGTTGATGGGACTGAAAATTAGTACAACCACTTTGGAAAGCAGAATGGTGCTTCCTCAAAAGATCAGGAATGGAATCACTCTATGACACATCTATCCCACTCTTTGGTATTTATCCAAAAAATTAAAATCCACATACTATACTGATATGGATATCCCAATGCTTACAGAAGCTCAATTTCACAGTAGCCAACTTACGGAACTAGCTCAGGTGCCCATCAACAGATGAATGGATAAAGATAAATCCAATTGAATAGATTTATGCCTAATTAATAGTATTTTATATTAAAGTAATGCTTCCATACCTGCTTTCTTTACTCCCAGTGCAACATGTTTGCTTTTTTAATGTGATCATATGGTGATGGTTTGGGCAGGGGTCAGATATATAGTTGTATGAAATAAAATGGCATTTAATCCTGTCAGATATTAATTCCCAGACAACACAAATGTGGTATAGAATGTTGATATTATTTGAGTAGATGGTATCAAAGATGACATTTTTTACTTTCTGCATGATAAAGAGAATTAAAAGACAAAGAATCATGATAATAGTAGGTTATTTATATAATTTAAATAAAGAAAAAAAAGTCAAGCTAAACCTACTTTGTTTTACTGTAATTTCTATTAAAACAGCCTTCTAATCAAATGCTAGAATAAACAAAGTAAAACAATATGTAATCTCAATACATATTGCTTAATAGAATGTCAGATGCAACAAAGCCATACACGTTCTCTGTACCATAAAAAGAAATATGTGATTACATGGATTTGTGATTTTTGCATGATTTGTGTGTGTCTTTGTAGAAAATATAATGGAACTGGCAAAGGTAATTACTAAAATTGGCTTGGGGAATCTTAAAAGTGGTACAAAGGCATTTATTTTAATGGTAAATGCTTTAATTTGCACTCATTAGGTAGACCAGAGGAAGGAGTATTAAGCCTACAAGATGGGAAGATGATCCTTTGTAAGAAGCAAGTAGACTTCATGACTTCTCTTATGCAAACTGGCCTTAGCAACACCTACTTGCTGTATGTGATGGTTGATTTTGTGTCAACTTGACAGGGCAATGACATTTGGTAGTAAGACAGTACTCTGTGGTTTTTTGTTTGTTTGTTTGTTTTTGGTATGAGGGATTGAACTCGGGGGCACTTGACCACTGAGCCACATCCCCAGCCCTATTTTGTATTTTATTTAGAGACAGGGTCTCACTGAGTTGCTTAGCTCCTCGCTTTTGCTGAGATTGGCCTTGAACTTATGATCCTCCTCTCTCAGCCTCCTGAGTCACTGGGATTACAGGAGTGCACCACCTTGCCTGGCTCTGTGTGTTTTTATTTGATGTTGTACTGAAATGAGTTTTTTCATATTTAGCTGGCAGGGTGAGTAAAGCAGATTACCCTCTAAAGTGATGGACCTGAAGAGACCAATCATCCATTGACAAGAGGACAAATGTCCCTCCTCCCTCCTGACTTCTAGCTGGAATTTTGTTGTTGTTGTTTTTTTGTTGTTGTTGTTTGTTTGTTTGCCTTCAGACTGGAGAACTGAAATATCTAATTTCCTGTGGTCTCACACTTGATGGCCTTCAGAGTAGAATGACAAAATATGTTTAAGTGGGTTTACAGCCTGCCAACCACTCATCTTGGGATGTTGGCTTCCATAGAATTGTACAAGCCCCTTCTTCATAATAGATCTCTTTATCTGTATCCATCTGTCGGGGTTACCAGTAGCCCAAGAGCTAATTCCTGCTTGGAGGTATAAACTAGCTAGGAAAATAAAAAGTCTGAAAATATTCAATCAGGAACAAAAGACAATAGACAGAAAATAGTTTTCAAAGCTGGGGTCTGGTATATTTTCCAGCCCTGATAGGAACTAGAACTGAACATAGAAAAAGGCCCAACTCCTTTATTTAAACTGAAATACATAAAAAGATTTCAGTGTGGCAGGCTTATCAAGAAAATAGGATAAAGATGGGTAAAAAAAGTTGTTTGGGGCTAGGGAGGCTACACCCACCTGGGGGGCAGGCGGGTTGCATTTGAACCTATGGCTCTGAGCTAAGGCAGGGTGTCAGCTTTAATCCCAGCAATCTGCAACCAGTGGATTCACACCAGGAATTCTCAGAGAAGAAACCCCCTTGCATTATGGTGGCTCAAACAAACCCATAATTCATACACAGCCTCCAACATCCATCCTGTTTGGTTCTGTTTCTATGAAGACCATGATATATTACGAAATCTGATTTTGATAATAACCGACATTTGACTTGTCTTTTAAGGGCTACATGCTGTTTGTGTATCTGTCCAGAGACTTCAGTTGTGTTATTCTACTCTTTCCAGAATGCCTGGCCTCCTGACTTTCTGGAAACCCATCAAGTAACTACTGCAACCGCATATGCTTTCCTGACTGGCCTAATTCAGAATGAATATTCTTTCTCTGAAAGTTAACATGACTCATATTTTATTCTATACCTTGGATTTTCTATTCATTAAAATCAGAAGTAGGTGAACTGTATTCCACAGGCCAAACAGAATCAACAACAAATTTCTGTGAATGAAGTTTTACTGGAATGCAGCTCATGCATGCACATGACTATGTATGTATACCCTATGACCACAGTTGAACAATTGTAACAGACTGTATTCCCCACAAAACCAAACATATTTTTTATCCATCCCTTTATAGAAAAATGTTTGCTGACCTCTACATTAAATCAATACCTAGCAAGTTCATTTATGCCTCCCTCAGTACTTGTAGAAGGAAACAATCCCCATCTTTTAGGGTGTTTTATCACATTAGCTTCTGATGTAACTCATGGCATGGCAGACACTTAAGGTGATAATTACCATTTGCTTAACTCATGATGGGGAAAAAAGAAGTAGGGAGGAGAAAGAGACACAGGATATTGAAGACACATATTTTTTATCTTGGGTGCAAAGAAGCTACTGTGTTGTATTACAAGTCTTTTTATTTTTCTTCTTTTCTCTTCTTTGAAAGGACTTTCCTTCACTAAATAATGAGCTTCTTTAGAGCAGGAGCAATATATATGAATTTTTCAAAACTCCAAACAGCAAGCCAGCAAGCACACTGTCTTGCTCAGAGTAGGTTTCCTGTGTGTGTGTGTGTGTGTGTGTGTGTGTGTGTGTGTGTAATGAATAAATGAAAATGAATAACCTAAGTCAATGGTCGAAACCAGAAACACCCTGGTGAGAGGTCAGTGCAGCAAGAGTATAAAAGGCAAGAGAGTAAATAGTAGAAAATCAGGTTAGAAAATGAGGTAAAAATCATGTGATAAAGACCTAGTAAGCGATATTAATGACTTTGTCCTTGCCATTTAAGTGATGGAGTGAAGACTAGGGAGTACTAATTAAAGGAGTATTATAAGGCAAGTTGTGTTCAGAGAGACCACCTGAGACACTTGGTTTTAAGATGGTAGAATAAATGTGATGAAATAAGAACTGGAGAATCAGTAAGAGAAATATGTCCCCCGTGAAACGCGAAGAAATATACTACCTGTTCCATAAACAAAAAATGAATACATAAAATAAAAAATTTAAAAGTATATTTTGAATTCATTTTTAAATTTATAAAACTAACTAAATTACCCACATAAATAAAACATGTAGGGGATGCAGAAACACGTTCCTAGAAAGTTTGGAAAGTTTACATAATTCACAACAGCTACATATCTCTAACCCAGACCATATTTCATTCATTTTTGTTGCAACTTCCTAAAAGAATAAGCTTTATTGGTAGCCATTTTGTATGACTGATGGAAATATAAATATCCAAATTAATAGGATATACTCATCAATTTCTGTTATATGCTCCAAATTTCCCAAAGGTCAGCTTGATTCTTGAACAATGGCAAAGCAGCAGATAAGGCAGATGACAGGTGACTGACATAGCCCCAAATTTTTAACTTATTACCTGGAAAATTCTTACTTAGAAAATAATGCATTTTTCCCAGCTATATACATTTTATTTTCACTGAAATACACATAGAGGACTGGGGACATAGCTCAGTTGGTAGAGTGCTTGCCTTGCATGTACAAGGTGCTGGGTTCAATCCCCAGCTCCACAAAATAAAATGAAATAAAATACACATAGACAATAGAAAGAAATAATATAGTAGAAAGAGAAGGATGTTTGGAATCAGAAACCTAGATGCAATTTCCCAGACCACCAGAACTAACCTGTGTCATTTTTGGCGAATAGGTTATTTCCTTGTATCTCAGTTTTGTCATCTATAAAAAGAATGACATAGTACCTACTTGATTATACTTGTATATAAACTAGATGGTGCATGTAAAAGTACTGTAACTCTGAAGTTCCATATAATTTCGAAAGCATTTATAAATCTCCTTAGCTATATTTAAGCACATATGGATATAGTTTTTATTAGCAGTAGAAAACCCATCTATATAAAACACTGATAATTAAATTTTTATAAAAGTCACCCTGTGTATGTTTAAGGGGAAAAATAAAACTTCTCAATGTATTCAGATAACACTTGCCTCTTTCAAAGATTCTCAATTCTTGATTAAGTTTTTCTGCAATGATATTATGTATGAGGGAAAGAATATTAAAGATGATATTTCAACTATTATTTTTTTCAAGTTTTCTTTTGGTTCTCAAAGAAAAGAAACTAAGTATAAATTACCTGAAGTCACTGTTATATCCTAGTTGTTTGTTTTATACCCTTCTTCTCAAAAACTTCTATCACCCATGATGCCTTGGCAGCACATTTACTAAAATTCTTAGAATTCCCCACACTTGCATTATGATTCATCCAGTTGACTTTATTTATGGCCATTTGGACCTTCATTTATATAGGAGATTACAAGTATCCAGGAATTATTTCTTGTTTGTTTGTTTGTTTTGTGGTGCTGGGGATTGAACCCAGAGTCTTATGCATTCGAGGCAAACTCTTTGCCAACTGAGTTATATCCCTAGCCTTAGACATTGTATTAATGTGAATTATTTAGTGACTCTTGTATCATGTTTTTGAAAGAAAAATAAATAAACCTTTATGTATTATAATCTAATCTCATCAGAAATGTTTGAATTAAATATGAATGAGAATCCCCAAAATGCTACTATTTTTAAAACTCTCTTTTAAAAAATTTTTTAGACATCAGAAATTTATTAGTTGCTCAAAACATTACATTGATCTTGACATATCATATATCAAACATTTGTTATTTCTTTTTTGATTGTGTCTACAGCTGAGATGTTTGAATCACCAGGCTGATAATGGGACAAGATTACATGTTACCTGTAAAGTTGTAAACTTCTACTAAACTTAGTTCAATAATGTATCAGTCCACATCACTATTCCTAACAAACTACTGTTTAAAGATGTACCAGATTATATTATTTTCTCATCTGTATAAACAAAATTTGAGAAAACATATTATGTTGTTTTACTTTATATAGCAATAAAGTAATTAAACCTGAATCTACCTGCATGCGTATATAACACAAAATATAATCATAAATCAAAATGACACTTCTCTTCAAATTGTATTAGGAAAAGAGTAGTAGTAAGAGGAAATGTGGTCCTCCTATTATAACAATATTAATATAATATTACATTACTACATTCATACTTATGATTTATGAAGACTGTAGCTTTTTTATATTTCAGATCTCTATTTTCCAGAGTGCAAATTATAGAAAGCAGGAAATCAGAAGATTATATACAGAAAAAAAATTTTCAATAAATTTTCTCTTTAACTGCAACTGAATTTTCTCATTTGTAAATAATAGATAGCTCTGGGTTAATACAGGGGAATGCATGTTGCTCAGAGAGGGAAATTGGTAGTTTCTAAAAGAGGACTCCATTTTCTTGGCTTTCAGCAATACTGACATCAGAATATCATTTTGTGTGTGTGTGTGTGTGTGTGTGTGTGTGTGTGTGTGTGCTGTATATACTTGCAATTAACCATCTTTGACTCTTTTTAGGGAGTTTATATTGTTCACATAACTGTCTTCAAGCTGAAGTCTTTTTATTCTACTTTGGTTAAATGTCTTCACAGGCCACCTTAGTCCATAGTTAGGAATGGATAAAGTGATTAGAATTGTGTTTTGGAGAGGATATCATCACAGTTCAGTATCAGAACAAATTTAAGAGAAAACTTCAGATGCCACTGAGGGAAAAACTAGAACAGCATATGAACATGGAAATACAGCAAGAGCTATTCAGATAATTTAAAAAATTTTTAAATAGCCACACTAGAAAAAAAATGAAAGTGACATTTTAATAATATATTTTACTTAATGTATGTATTCAAAAATGTCATTTCAACATAAAATCCTAATATAATTATTAATAAAATATTTTATAGTCTTTTTTTGCTTACTAAGTCTTTTTTTTTTTTTAAAGTACCAGGTCACAGAGTGGAAAGAGGGGAAGAGGCAGAACTAGGCTTTGCCAGAATAGCATTATTTTTTTTTTTAAAGAGAGAGTGAGAGAGAGAGAGAATTTTTAATATTTATTATTTTTTAGTTCTCAGCGGACACAACATCTTTGTTGGTATGTGGTGCTGAGGATCGAACCCCGGCCGCACCTTGAGCCACATCCCCAGCCCCTGCTTACTAAGTCTTGAAGGACCCTGGTAACAGTTTGCATCTAGCTAGTAGAAATTTGGATGGGTCTGATATCAAGTACTCCATATTACTCCCACGTGTGGCTACTGCCTACTTGAATAGATAGTCAGAACTAAATGCTCACCCTTATAGCCCAAGAGAAAAAAAGATTATAGCCCTAGCAGATAAGCAGTGTATGCAATGAAGGAAAAGCCATGTATAGGTGAAATTAATGGGTTTTGCAGATTTACTGAGTGGGTAAGGAGGAAGACTCAAAGCATTTTCTCACTTGTTATCTTCTTGTGAATATGAAAAAGGAAGGGAAAATCAGTAGGAAATAATAGTTCTTCAGACAAGAAGAAATAAATAAAATTATACCTTTTAGAGAAAATATTACCATATACATATATGGAAGATAGAATTAATAAGTAGGTTGGAAACACTAAACAATCCTATATCTTTGTAACCCCTATTCGAAGGTCATATTTTATTCATATAGATTACTACATTTGGAAAACAGTTCTCTACGGAACTCTGTAACTGCCATTTTGTTTCAAGATGACAGACTGACATATAAATTACCTGATTAGCAATGCTCACTGATTTGGTTTTACATAGCAAATTTCATCAAGAAAATCCAGTTGTATAAAAATTTCAATGAAACAAAATGACACAAAATGTCAAAGGGCCAAGATGAAAAGGGAGAGGTTTTTAAATATTTTAAAATAGATTTTTAAAAATACACAAATATGGGGCTGGGGATGTAGCTCAAGCGGTAGTGCGCTCGCCTGGCATGCGTGCGGTCCGGGTTCCATCCTCAGCACCACATACAAACAAAGATGTTGTGTCCGCCGAAAACTACAAAATAAATATTAAAAAATTCTCTCTCTCTCTCTCTCTCTCTCTCTCTCTCTCTCTCTCTCTCATCTCATCTCTCTCTCTTAAAAAAATACACAAATTTTGTTTTTATGAAAAGCTACTTATGAAATAATGGTAAGAAAGAAATGTTAGGACAAAATAATATGGTATAAAGACATGAAATTTGTAATCAGAATGACTTGGGATTCATATCCAGCACCATTAGTCTACCTGGATGGCTTTGGGGCTCTGGGTATTATTTGGCTTTTTTTTGCCTAAATTTGAAAAATGAAATGTCTATTCTCAGGATATTTGTATAAAGCACAGAAAATACACGAAGAACATCTGATGTGTGTAAAAATTGAACAAATGTAGAATACCTAACATATATTAGGCTTTCAAAACATTATAATTATTCACATAGATAATGATTTCTGATTCAGTGTAATTTTCATATAAGAGAATATATAAGATTAAAATCAAAAGAAAAATGAGCTTTCTTGTAGATAATTTGAGTGTTTTATTCATCTCCTCAGTTAAATTCAAAAGTACATTAGCAGTATTGTTTTCATTGGTATTAAACAAATACACATTTTGCATTACAGCGAAGAATCAATTTTTATACAACCCACCCCCTAGGTAATTTCAGTGAGAAGGAAAAATTTTCAATGCAATCAAATATAATCTGTATCTTTTCTTCTAAAGAATAAAAAGTTCTATACCACCATTATTGGCAATGCCATTATGCAAAAGTGAGAGAAAATTAAAGGTACTCTTTTAAATTCCTCTCATTTTCTGTTTTTCTTTAAGCTCTCAAAGGGAAAAAAGTAAAATTTCCCTGTACTTCATCTGTGTAGTTTGAAGGATCTTATTTTTCATTCCTCCCACTGAAGCACCCATATAACTTTTTCCATATAGATTGAACTCTGAATCCATTAAAGCTATGCAGCCTTACATGAAGTAATTGTAACTGACTAGAGTCTACTCAACCAGAGATAGACATTATGTACTATAATATTTTATAAAAATCCTCATTCACCAGAATTCAAAAAAATCAATTAAGATGAATTAGAAAAATTAAAATCTGTAATGTAAAGTATCTATATACATTGTTTATTATGAGTGATCAATATATGAAATATTATATGTGTACTATTTGTCTTTCCACAGTTGTAACTAAATGAAAAAAATTGATAAAAACAAAGATTTTCTATAAAAATCCCTGAAATGAATAAATAGTAGCAACAAATATTAATGTAATAAATAAACATACTTATTAATCTATTTAACCTAGATTTGTAACAAATGAACTCCTCAATTTATTTAATCTAATTCTGTCTCATTGACATGCGTGAAACTCATAGAAAAAAATATATGTCTAAACTCTTTCAATGCTTTATTTTGCCATATCTCATAACAGAGTACCAGTCTCACAGAAGTATGTTGATAGGAAAAAGTGGGGCTTTAAAGTAATTTCAATAGGCTCAGACTATTCTTTTAAAGTTTCATCTGAATGTAATAAGAGGTGCTCTACTTTTAAAACTTATTTTCAAACTTTCATTGGTAACTAGTTTCAATAATTTATTGTATAAAATTGGAGTTAAATCTAAGCTGCCTTTTGATTAAATAGATTTTTATCATAAACTTCCTATGTGTGGATCTTATCTTGCTGAAAATGAAATTCAGAATAGTCTACAAAATTTCTAAGGTGTTTGATGATAACTTTTTGCAGATAGGCAATACATCATTGATAATTATTTTTAACTTATGGTTAAAAAATGACAATTTGCAAATATTAGTTCAAACTTTCAAGTGTTTACACTTTATTTTGGCCCTTTTGTAACACATTACACAGGAAAATATGTCCACGTCTTCTTTGTATGGATATGTTAAATCTATTATGGGTACTTAAGACAAATCATCAAGTGTGTGCATCCAAATAATATGTTTAAAATTTTGTGAGTAAACTGATCTCTTACCTCCCAGTAATGCTTGCAAAAAAGTGTGTTTCATAAGTCAAATATAACTGGTTAATTTCTTCTCCTTATAAATAAATAAACATTAGCATATAAAGTTTGTTTAGAAGTTTTTAATACACATAAGTGTTTTATTTAGCTTTTTGACATTGTGATCAAAAGACTTCACAGGAATAACTTAGAGGATCAACAGTTTATTTTGGCTCACATCTTCAGAGGCTCAGAACATCATGGTGGAAGGGCATGGTGAAGGAAAACAGCTCAAGACAGGGCAACCTGGAAGAGCTAGAGTACTCCATTCACTAGGGGA